AGGTTTCTTGGGGCCTCTCTGCTCTGAATGAGCCATAGATCAGCCATGAGGATCCTGTGTCCAAGTCACTCTGCCAACAGCTGGGCAGAGCCAGAAGCAGGGCAGCTCTTAGCAACTCCTCATGGTGGCTTTGTGGCCCTGGGGTCACTATGTGCCCCAGCAGAATATGATGCGTCTGTATCCCCTACCCTCCAGTCGGTGTGAGAGGCCAGGAGCACCCAGGCTGTGGGAGAGTGCAAAAGGGCTCACCCGGAGGAAGGGGATGATGTTGTCCTTGGCAATGGCCTGCAACAGGCGCGGGGCCCCAGTGAGGCTCTGTAGACCGGCGCCACAAGTTGAGAAGAAGGACCCGATGACAATGACCCAGGGCGAAGGCCAGGCCAATGTGCCCACCACTAGGTTTCTGCTGACGCCATCACCGTACCTGCAGGGGCCAGGCTTAGGCCATGCTACATGCAAAGAGCCCCCCCAAACCCTGGGTGGGGCCGCCAGGAGCCAGGGTGTCAGGGGTTAGGAAGGATGGCTATGGCAGGCACAGCTCTCGCCCCTCAGCACCGAAGTCCAGTGGACCAGCCCCTATCCTTTCTCCTTGTCCCAGCCCTGATCCTGATGTCACCGTTCTCTAAGAAGCAAAAGTCCCGGTGGGACCTGATCCACTCAGTGGCACACACTACCACTGGCAACCAGCAGCCTGAGGATATGTGTGAGACCACGTGTTTCGGGGGGGGGGGGCTGGTGTCAAAGTAGGCAAAAGCGGAGCCCCGTGGCACAGGGAGGGGCCCAGCTCACTCACTTGTCCCGGAGGACCACACCCTCGATGCAGGCGCCAAAGAGAACCACGCTGCTGAAGTCTGCGGCCGCGTCAAGGAAAGCTGCGCCTCCGCTGCACTGCTGCCCCACGTATCGCCCACCCAGGACCCACATGCCCCTCGCACTAGCCTTGGCCAGGAGGCTCGCTGGGGCACCTACAACTGAGGGTTTTATGTTGTGCACACACTCGAATGTGAGGGGAAAGGTACACATGTGTTCACTTAAAAGAAGGCAAGTGCCTCTTGCCCTCCTCCCTGCTGGCCCCAGGCCTGGGAAAGGATACACACAAGGGAGGTTGTAACAATGGCCAGAATGGTCCCCACCGGGATGGACTTCTGGGCGTCGCGGAGGTCACCGGAGCGATTTGAGCCAGCCATGATGCCTACAAAAACAACGAGATTCCCTCAGGGGCTCCCCAGGAGCGCGGGCAGGGCTGGGTGGGTGGGCAGAGGGCCTTACCCGTCACAGAGGGGAAGAAGATGCCAACCAGCACGGTGAAGGATGTGGCAATGTCTGCTACCACGTACAGGGGCAGGTTCTCCTTCAGGCCAAGGGCATCTGTGGAGGGCAGCCCGTGCTTCTCCACCACCTCTCCCTTCTCCAGGTAGGTGCTCCACAGGTTCTCTGCAGGGGCAGCAGCATCACCACCGGCAGCCCCACCTACTTCCCAGGGGCAGTTTGGGGCAGCCCGGCCAGAGGCTGCAGATGTGAGCGGCCCCGGGGGCTCAGGGGGGCAGCGTTGGGTCAATGTCTGCAGCATCAGACACAGGGAAGGGGCTGTCTGGCTAGAAGTCTGACAGGCAAAGGTTGCTGAAGCCAGAGCCCTGTCTCTGCCTGCCTCCAAGACAGAAGCCCTTTATGGCTCCTGGGAGAATAAGCCCAGGCAGCGTCAGGGGCTGGTGGCTGGGGAGAGAGGGGCTGCCAGAACTTTCTGGGGGTTTTGCAGCCCTGGGATGCTGGCCAAACAAGCTCTGTTCACCCGAAACCTAGCTGCCAAGAGCCAGGCTGCGAGGACACTACTGCGCCTGGAAGGCAGCCAGACCTGCCCCCCATCCCTGAGTTGGCCACACAAGGACGGCTCTGTGATCCGCTCTCCTTCCATGCTCACTCCCTGCCTGCTGCTCGGCCCATGGGTCAGGAGTGGGGACGCACCCTGGAGCACGCTGGCAGCTGCACCTGGGATGCCAGGGATCTCGGTCACATTGTTGAGAAGGAAGTAGGGGTCACAGGAGTCAGTGGTAAGGTTGAAGCTGTGGCAGAAGAGGTTCCATAGCTTGGTGGCCCCAGTCTCATTATTCACCATGGCTGTCTTAGCACAGATGTCGAACTGGTCGCGGGACAGGGTCCTGTTGCCCAGCATGCACACTCTGTGGGGAGAGGGGAGTATCATCACCTGCTCAGCTGGAGGTCTCAACCTGTTTCCACCCTGCAGCTTCCAGGACTCAGGGCATCAAAGGCCTTCTACTGGGAAAAGATGCCAGTGCAACACCAGGATGTATTCCCAAATCACTTACGGAAACACGGGAGGGTCAAAAATAGACTTGATGCCCCCAGCATAGATGGAGAGGATGGAGATGATCACACAGGCCAGGAAGAGCGAGGCAAATTTGTTCACATACTTGACCCCAACAAACACCACCAGGGTCATGAAGGTTAGAAAAATGGTCCCATACACTCGCATGTTGTTCAAGGTGGCACTTGATGAGTCATGAGTGCCTGTTGGGTAAAAAATGGCAGCTGGCGGGGCAATGTAGGTCTGAAACAAGAAACAGACAGAGAAGGTTCAATTTCCCTATTTAGAGAATGAATCCTGTCATTAAAAAAAAAAAAAAAAAAAAAAGAGTATCCAGAAAAACCCAGCCACAAAAGACCACATACTATATGATTCCATCTATATGAAATGCTCAGAATAAGTGGATCTGATTATAGACAGAAAGCAGATTAATGGTTGCCTAGGGCTGGGGGGAATGGAGGGGGACTAGCATAGATTTTCTTGAGTGGTGAGAATGTTCTAAAATTGATTGTGGTGATGGTTGCCCAATTCTGTGAATATCCTAAAAACCTTTACATTTTATACTTTCAGTGGGCAGTGAATTGTATAGTATATGAATTATATTTTAATGAAGCTCCTATTTAAAAAGGATCCAGACACAGGAATCAACTCAAATAGTGAATAGCTAAACAGCCAAAGTGGAACAGTTTGAGCAACAAAATAAATAATGATAGTACTGGATCATGAGCCAAGAATAAAATATCCAGGAGTCCATACTGATATAAATACATGGTTGAATAAATAAATAAATGGGGGGAAAGGCCAAATTTTCTTTACAGAAGAAACCCAAATAATAAATGCAGGAATGTGGAAATATGAACAAAAAACAACCACCTCCGCCCTCCCCTCACCCGCCTGACGTAGTTCTAGGAACAAGGTCCACACTGCAGGCAGAGGACCTGGAGACGGGAAGGCCAAGCAGTCCCTCTAAACCTCTCCTATTGTCTGGATCCCCAGGGGTGGGCACTTGTTACCCTATGAGCCCCATGACCCCTCCACCTCTTCCTTCACCAGCTGGGGCAGTTCAGTGGGGAGTGGGAAGCTGAGACAGAACACACACTGGGCTCACGGAGAGGACACTGACCTCCAGGCAGGGTCCTGTGGCTGCTTATCCTGATTTAGGGACAAGGATAAGGTGGAACTGAAGGGCTTGGCACAGAAGCCTGGGGGGAGACAGACCTGGCCAGAGTCTACCTGTGCCTGGGAGGTAGGCTCTGCGTCACCACCAAGATCTGTCATTGAGTTAAATGCAAGAGTTTACAGATCACCTGCCATGGCGGAAATGGGGCCCGAGTGAATGGAACATCCAGGGCCAAGGTGAAGGCAGCCAGGCCAGGCCCCTTCCCTGCGTAGTCCAAGCCGGAAAGGGGAGGGGCTGAAGGGAAGACTGGCTTAAGCAAAGATCTTTCTCCCTCAAGGAGGCCTCCCACATTAGAAGCCCCAGCCCCCGGTCAGAGGCGAGGGGAGCACGAGCAGCCTGGGCCTATGGGAAAGGGACTGTTTGGACAAGACCAGAGTTGGCCACGGTCTCGCGTCACTCACCAGCAAGATCTCAATGGCCCCCAGGATGTACATGGCCGCTGCAAAAGTTGTTCCCAAGTAGAAGCACAGGCCCACTGCACCTCCAAATTCTGGCCCCAGTGAGCGGGAGATCATGAAGTAGGAGCCCCCAGCTACAACAGAGAAAGTGCACACAGGTCAAGGCTGGCTCTTCTTCGAGGGGGCCTCCTCCGTGACAACTTCTCATAACCACCCAGAGGGACAGGAATGAATTTTTCCATTTACAGAGGAGCAGAAGGGTTGGAAGATTTGCCTAAGGCTGCATAGTTTTAAGTGGCCAAGCTGGAGTTGGACTCTACTCCCATCTGACTCCAACGCCCAGTACAGGCCAGGGAAAGGATTACTTTGCAAGGCAATTCCAGGTCTGCAGCAGTGCCTAAGTGACTCACTGTCCCCCAACTCCCTGCACTTAGGCCAGTCCCAACAGCCTCCACTGGCTGGGTATGTCCCCTCTCACCACACCTCACCCTGCCAAGGGCTGTGTCTGTTAGTCCGATCCCTCCAGACCAGGGCAGGAACTATGTCTTAGCAAGTTTTTTGTCCTTAGGGCCCAGCACAGGGCCTGCCACCGGGTGAGTTTCCATGGCTGACCCTCCTGCCCTGAGTCTGTGCTCCCAGCAGAGTCTAACACCCCTGGCAAGACTGAGAGAGACGACACTGGGTCCCAGGGCCAGTGGGGGTGCAGGGGACATGTTGCCAGTTGAATTTTCTCCTGATAAAATGTCTCTGGTGAAAAATCTAGGAACAGGGATCAAGAAACTTTGAAAAGGTTAATCCCTTTCATGCTGCAATCCCACCTCCAGGACCTTCTCCTAAGGAGCCATCAGGGGTGTAAGTAGAGATTCGTGTGCAAGGCTGTTCACAACAATAATACAACAGTGAAAAAATGCAACCCAAGACTAGGAAAAATAATCACATAAAAATAATCACATAAATTAGATAATATACTATTAATCCTACTTAAAAAACAAAACAAAACTAAACTAAACAAAAATGTTGGAAAAAATTTCCAACATTTGAGAAATACACACACATATAGAGTTTGGGCAAAATAATCTCTCGATACTTTACAAGACCCAGCCTCCTGGTGCTTACCACAGGCTGTTTTCTTACGCTGACTGTACAGAAAGAGGAGGCAGAGAAAACCCACCCCATATACACGTCAGCCCAGGCCCTCTGCCTGGTCTGTATGGTGAATGGGGGGACGTGGAGTTGGAAAAAAAAAACAACAAGATCCTAAGACCATGTACCAAAAAGCTAACAGTTATGAATTCAGAATGGTGGTATTATGGGTACTTCCAATTTTCCTTTCTACATTTCTAACTTTCAAGCCCTCTTATAGGTAAACATGTATTGCCTTTTCCCCGCTATTATTTTTATACTAATATTAATAAAACTGTTATTTAAAAAAAGGATCTAGCCTTGACTGGTATGGCTGTTGGTTGTGCCTCATCCCACAAAGCAAAAGGTCACCGGTTTGATTCCTGGTCAAGGCACAGGCATGGGTTGGGAGTTTGGTCCCTGGATGGGGCATGTGGGAGAGGCAACCAACTGATGTTTCTCTCCCTCTCTTTCTCCCTTCCTTCCTCCTCTCTAAAAATAAATAATAAAAATTAAAAAAAAAAAAAAGGATCCAGACAAAGGCACAGGAGCCAACCTGAATAGCTAAACAGCCAAAGTGGAACAATTTGAACAACAAAATAAATAATGAATTACTAGATTATGATCCAGGGAATAAAATAAACATCTGGGAGTCCATACTGATAGGAATACATTGTTAAGTACATAAATAAACAGGATCTCTGAAAACCAACTCCAGCCCCGGCTGATGTGGCACAGTTGGTCGGGTGTTGTCCCATGGGGTATAAGGTCACTGGTTCAATTCCCAGTGAGGGCAGATGCCTCACTGGGTTGTGGGTTTGGAACCTGGACGAGGCGCATACGTGAGGCAACCAATTGATGTTTCTCTCTCACATTGATGTTTCTTTCCCGCTCTTCCTCCCTCCCTTCTCCTTGCTCTAAAAATAAAATAAATAAAATCTTAAAAAAAAAGAAAAAAAGAAACGAAAACCAAATCCAGTCTCATCATCCCTGCCGAAACCCTCTGCACTCTCCTACAAGCCGTGGTGTGGGCCAGTCTCCTTGGCATGAGCCACCGGGTGCACCCCATTACCTTCTTTGACAGCCTCAGCCCTTTAATTTTTTGTTATTTTATTTATTTATTTATTTTTGGTGAGGAAGGGGACACCCACCTACCCAGCCAGATCAGCTGAATCAACCCTGGCAATCAATGGGGTGACATGCCAGGGCAGCCAGATTGCCCTAATATTCCCCAGCCCCCTTTTTAAAAACAAACAAACAAACAAACAAACAAACAAACCAAAAAACCAGAACACAACAGATATCTCAGACTCTGTTGAGCAAGGATGTTCCTAAGTGATGCAACTGTCATGGATTCAGGGAATAAGACCCAACCATAGAATTGCTTTGAGGGCAGGAGCCATGAGGAGACTGGGTGTCTCAATGTGGATTCTGGACTCACTACCCCCAACAGGCCCAGGGTAGTGCTCACCCACCTGGAACCACTCCGTTGGTGGCGATGGCGCTCATGGAGATGGCCGTCAGCAAGGTCTGTGGGAAGGAGGGCCTATGTGAGCAGTTTAGCTGGGAAGTCTCTCCGGGCGGCGCTGGCCCTGCCCCGGCTAGAATACTCACACAGCAGCAGCAGATCAGCACAATGAGGAGGGCCTGCAGCACACCGGCCGTGCCCACCATCCACGTCAGCCGCAGGAAGAGGATCACCCCGAAGATATTCTGCAGGCAGGGCAGGTACACCCCCATGAGGGTGCCCATGCTGGGCGCCTGGAGCGGGAGGCGGGGGGAGATGTACAGCATCAGAGGGACCCAGGTGCACCGTGGAAGGCCAGCCCCAGTCCCTCAGCAGTCCCCGAGGTGTTCTGCAGAGAACAAGCTGGAGAGGAGCACCCTGAGCAGAGTCCTGGGGAGTGCAGGGGTGGGGTCACAGCTCCAATGTCTAAGTTGATTTTTTTATATATGAAGATAGTTTGGCACTGGGAAGGTATAAAACCTGGCTCGTTTCAAAATGCCAAGTGTGGAGCTTTTGAGCTTCACCTCCCCGTCAAGGTACTGTCCCCTTTCCTTCCTCGTTTCTTTTAAAGTTCTGGAGGGAGGTCTGTCTCCCATCCCCACCTTCTCACCCAGCAGGCCCCCTGTCACCCAAGCCAGAATCTAAGAATTTGTTCTTGGCCTTCCCTCGGTCCAATCCCCCCGCCCCCCACCACGCCACTCCAGGTGGACACCAAGTTCTACAAAGTGTGCCTCTCAAGTTGCTATCAGAGCAGCCTGCCTTGCCCCTGCCTTAGTCCCTTGAACCTGAGGCACTACACTCGGGGCGGCTGGATGGTGCCCTCCTATGTCTGTCAGCCTCTCCACGCTGCGGCCTCTGCTGCCGCCAGGGCAGGTCTCTGAAAGCCAAGTTCAGTCTCATGATGCCTGCCCAAACTCTCCGCTCTGTCTGTCCTGTAATCGATGGTGTGGGCCACCAAATGTGCCCCATCCCTTCATTGTTAGTTTCACTTCCCAACGACATAGGTCCCTCAGAGCTTCTGAACCAAGGCCTGCGCTGGACTCTCCCTGGGAGGGTGAGTCCTGCCTCACTGCCTGGCAAACTCGTCTTTAGATAAACCTTCGGGAGGTTTAACCGTGTTTTCTCTTCCAGGAAGTTCCTCTGGGTTGCCTTAGGTAGAGTTGGCACTTCCCCTTGCATCTCCTCAGCATTTGATATACCCTTCCATCATAGTGGTCATTTACAGGTCACGGAAACCATTCCCTCGAATGTTCCATGACCGTACTGGGGTAGACTTGGCTTGTTTGCTTTTGTATCACCAGCAGGCCCTGCAGGTACCCAAAAGGTGCTCCTAAGCCCAGGGAGTGGTGCCTTGGAAGGCCCCTTGGACAATGTGTTGGGAAAATCCTACATAGAGACAAGACTCAAGGTTGAAGAACAGATTAAGGGAAAAAACACAGACACACATATATATACACGAGGTCTATTTAGAAAAAGTCCAGCCATTGTTAATATAATGAGACTGATTTACGCTACATTGATGTAGCCTGGCAGCCAAGGAGAGTGGACTAGAATGGGCATGCGTGAACAATGACCTTCACTGTACTAGTCAGTGGGGGCGGTAGACACTGTTGAGTGAGTCTGTGTCCTGTGTGGCCGTCTCATTCAAAATGATTGAGCAAATAGGGCAACGGATCTGTATCAACTTTTGCATTAAGCCTAAACATTCCTCTGCAGAAGCTATTCGGATGATTCAGAAGTCCACAGCTATGGGCCACTGGTATGGGCAGCTTCATCACGACAGTGTGCCCACTTATGCATCATGTTTCATAAAGAGTTTTTTGGTGAAACATCAAATCACCAGGTGACTCAGCACTGCTATAGCCCAGATTTGGCACCCTGAGATTTCTGGTTTTTCCAAAATCACCTTTGAAAGGGAAGAGATTTCAGGCTGTTGATGAGATTCAGGAAACTACTATGGGGCACCCGATGGTGACTGGGAGAACTGTGTGAGGTCCCGAGGTGCCTACTTTGAAGGGGACTGAGGTGTCATTGTTTACGTACAATATTTCTTGTATCTTCTTCAATAAATGTCTCTATTTTTCATATTACATGGCTGGATACATTCTGGACAGACTTCATATATAAAACACAGACAACAGCTCTGGCTGGTGTGGCTCAGTGGATTGAGTGCTGGCCTGTGAACCAAAGGGTCGCCGGTTTGAATCCCGGTCAGTGCACATGCCTGGGTCGCAGGCCAGGTTCCCAGCAGAGGGCGAGCAAGAGGCAACCACACATTGATGTTTCTCTCCTTCTCTTTGTCCCTCCTTTCCCCTCTCTCTAAAAATAAATAAATAAAATCTTTTGAAAAACAAAAACATACAGACAACAGAGTGATGATAGCCAGAGGAAAAGGGGGGTGGGGTGAGGTGGAGGTGGGGGCAGGGGGGAAATGGGGATGGAAAGAGACTGCTTGGGGCAATAAGCACACAATGCAGTGTACAGTTGATGTTTTGTTGAGTTGTACGCTTGAAATCTGTATGGTTTTGTGAACCAATGTCACCCCAATAAATTCAAGTGAAAAAAAAGTTGAAGGGCAGGTGAAGAAGGTCTAATGGGCATATGCAGGCAGGATTTCTCAACTATCTAAGGGCAGAATAGGGGCCAGCCAGAAGGCCAGGGCGGAGGCTGAAGCACAGGGGCAGGGCAGGTGAAGGCGCCTTCTTGAAGAACTGAGTCCCCATGAATGCAGCGCAGGGTAGTGGGGCTTAAGAGCTTCCACCTGTGCCCTCGCAAAGCCTGCTGTCCTGGACCTGGGGTGGGAGAGAGAACTTTGTGGCCACAGGAACTCTTCTGAAGGGCCCAGATCTGGGGCAGGATCTATGTGCAGACTAAAAGACCTCACAAGGGCCTGAGTAAGAATGAATGGTCCCTCAAATTGTCCTGCACAGTGTAGGTGACAAATAGACCTCATCTGGGCTCCGTCAGAGCCCTTTTCAGAGACCCCGGACCACCCACTGTAGCGGCAGCTCCCAGCCCCACCTCAGTTCCAGGCTGAGTCACTCTGGAAAAAAGGCAGTGTGGGAAAGGGCAGGGCCGGAAATGCTTTCTGCATCTCCAAATAACCTCTGGCAGCCTCAGGAGGTCACAAGGCCAGAGCCAAGTGCAGTGGCCGCTAAGGAGAGGCTGCCTAGGGTCTTGGCATGGTCTGATTGGAGACCTGCCCTTCCTGCTTTAAGTCTTACTTTTCTGTGGCCCAGCTCAGGCCCACCCTGCATAAGGACCACAGCTTAGTGGCCCAAATTCCCTAGCTTTCTACTGACGCACTGTAGACCTGACCAGGCTCCTCTTTCCCTGATGGAAAAATCATCGAAACTGGGACACTCAGGCACCCTCTCACATCCTTACTCTAAGGCCAGGTGAGCTGGGCAGGTAAACTAAGGGCGGACCCCAGCATCCTCACAGGCTCCTCATAAGGCCAAGGGCCTGCAGCCCTTTACCAATCCAGGCTTCCTCTCAATAGTGTTGAGATGCACACAGCCTTTCTTTCTTTCTTTTCTTTTTTATAATAAAAGAAAGTTTGTCCTAGCTGGTGTGGCTCAGTGGATTGAAGGCCAGCCTGT